TGTTACCCCTTTCCAAAAATGCGAAAATCGGTCTGTCCCGATTCGTGTCTCAAAATATCGGTATTTTCCTCATTACAAAGTCAAAAATGATCGTAACATGGAATGTTATATCTCGTTGAGTTTGTATTTTAACCTATTTTCAAAATATTCAACTGCCATTCAAATCTGAATAAAAAAATATTTTTTCAATTTTTCGAGAAAAGGATGATGAAAAATTAATTTCTTGATAATCAGCATACAAATTACACAGAAGTTTGTACGGGTCGTTAGCTGCACAAGACAATCCTCATTATCGCTGCGCGACTTATTTTGACAAAGTTATAAGCATAATGCTGGTAAAAAATATTGCAAATTTTACTCAAAAGTTATAATCTTTATTTTATGCTTAATATATCAGTAAATTTCCCACAGCAACGTCAAAAATGGTCCAAATATGGAATGTAATACCTCGTTGAGCTCGTAATTTAATGTTTAATAAAATTGCATTAAAATATGGATAGGTAAATTTTCGACAGATTTTATAAAAATTTTCATATTGTAAATAAGAAATAGGTCGATCTAGATTTTTACCCCCAAAAATCACTATCTTGCCCATAACAAAGCCAAAAATGGCTAGAATTCAGAATGTTATACCTTTTTGAACTTGTAATTGAATGTTTATTCAAATTTCTTTTAATCTGAAAATGTAAAAAATAACATTTTCAAAATCAGTCGAAACAGTTACCCTGCACTTTTTCGATAAGTGTTGGCAGAGCCGTTAAAGCGGTTAGTGTGCCAAAAGGCAGATTATCTAATCGGGGCACCAATTGTCTCAATAGCACCGTTTTCAGCTGATCACACACACTTTCCACATCCCATCATAGCTGCCACTTGCGCTTTCCTTTAGCCTTTGCATAACCACACACACGCAAATCTCCCATCGCTATTCCCATTCAAAGTTATATCCCCCTGATCCGTACACTCAATATTGCCTGACCGCAAACTGCAAATTTGCCTTAATGACTGCGTCGGCACGTTAACTGTCATTTTCAATCAAATCGCCTCCGTTCCCCTACTCTCCATATAGAGAGATATATCCGCTGGTACCCCCACCATCAGCGCCACCTAACGCGATTTTAAGTGCAGCCCATTAATTTTCAGCGCTTTTTAAAAGTCTTGCACAAACGGAGATGCGGATTGAATGTTACCAATCATCCAAATGTGCACCCTAGGGGGAGTATAATACAAAATATTTCGATAAAATGCGCCAAGTGGGAGGTCACTTCTTGAAGTTTACCGAAGATATTAGCTAATCCCAGTCGATATAGGAAACGGCTAAGCCAAAAATAGCTGGTAAATATTTGCGCACTTTGGCACATAGGTGGAATTTGTAGATTCTAGAAGCAAACGTGTAAAAATCCGCACAGGTAAATGATTATAGTGAGTGGGCCAACAACAATGGGGCATTCTTACGTACGTGAGTTCGCAGAGCCGTAAGTATATTACTGGGTTCAGGGTTAATTATTCTATTGCACGCTCGGACTCAGCCTCAAAATCAGACTTAAGCTCGGCTTGAAACTCGGAACTAGCTGAATGCTGCTGCTGAGCCAGTGTATGTCTAAATTATGCATTATTTGTATTATTAAATTTGTCGGTTGTTATACAAACAAACACACACTAAGAAGCGTTAGTTACTTAATATTTATTCTACATAATTATTTCATTAGCCATAAAAGGAAGTTGACGACATCTACTGTCGATTTTGTCATGCGTGGCTTGGATTTTAAAAACTTTTCTGAAGACGACTTCACCTTCACGGTTGACAAAATACTCGAAATATTCAGAGAAACTAAGCAAATTTGCGACTAAATTTTAATGAGTTCATGAGTTTGATTTCTATATTTTATTTCTAGGAATTAAAAACTTAATATCTTAATATTTTCCAACTGTTGTTGCCAGATGTACTTTCTAGTACTTATAAGTTAATCTCCCAACTGGTTAGTATGACCTTTGTCGGCGTCTTGTTACATGTTATAATTAGCTAACTGTTAGATGACTTCTAATTATTCCCCCCTCCATTTTAATTATGGATGAGATGCGGCATTCCAGGCATACATTGATACTCCCCTTGGCGCCTTTCTATTAGCATATTGAGAAAATAAAAACCAAACAGAATTTAATATTATTTTTAAAGTTGCTTCTCTTTTTTTGATAAATAACAAATATTTATTTAACACTTCTGGCTTACTTAATCATTGTTAAGTTTTCAAAAATAAAATTTGTTTCCGTGCTTAGACAAATCCCAGAAGCGATCTATCTTACAGATTGTCATTCGAGTCTCGGCTCCTCTTCGGTTGCACTCGAGTTGAGTGATTGCAACAGAAACTGGCAATAAAAATTTGCATTTATTTTTGCCTGCGATGTTTTGTTTTACGAGTGTGTTTATGCGATCCGCAGATCGCTCCCGGCTGATAAAATCGCCGGATTGATAAACATTTTTAACTGGCCGTGTCGTGTCTTTGCTCGTCCACGATTTCCCAACGCCAATTTGCATGTTTAATCAGCTGTGGCCAAGTTTAACCCATTGTTCGGCTCAGTCCTAAACAAAAGGCGGCAAAACAAAGGCCCAGCATCGCACGATTGGCTGTGTGGGCGTCTCTGAGATGAGGAATTCTATCTATCTATCTGGCTATCTATCTATTTGACGACCAGCAATTCTTTCGCACGCTGGGCTTAAATCCCAGTTGATTTCTCGACTGCGCACTTTATCAATCATCGAAGGAATCAAACAAACAACCCGAGAACCACTCCAAAACCCATCCAATTGTAAGCCACTCTAAAATATTTCTGTTCATTGTAAAGACGTTGATTGAGTTCGAGAGCCGACATGACAAAAAATAATTCTAAGCTGCTTTTTTGGCAATTAAAAATGAGGGTACAGACATGAGTTTGTGGTTTGGATAAAAGGAAGTATTACCGCCTCTGAAATATATTTTTAAATATTTCTACATAAAAAAGGTATTATTATTTTCTTGGGCTACAAAACTTCGTTTTAGAAGCCTTCTTCTAAGCCCAAGCAAATTAACTTTTGTTATTAATGAGCATCTTTAAGTCCAAACACCTTGTTATTTCTTTCTCACTTTTTGGTAATCGTATTGCGCGCTTTGGCAGTTAAGTTTAGAACGCTGATGTTATAACAAATTAACAAAAAAATATATAATCATATAAAAACAAGCGCGAACGAGCGAGTCAATGGCATTTCTTATAATTAAACTGGGAGCGAACTTAATGAGCAAAGCCCCTCGTCGGGCAGGCACAAAAAATTCTCTTCGAATTATAGCCAAATTACGAAAGACATATAATTTAAAAACTGTTTATCACGGCTCTGTTCTTTGTGATCATCAGTTAAGCATTAGCTATATTACCATGATCATCATGCAAATCTCTTTCTTTCGGGCTTTTCTTACATGGCATCCTGCTTGGGTCAATTAATCATGGGAACTGCCAATGGCCAGAAAAAGAAGTTTAAGTTCTTAAGTTCTTTTTCACCAACGAACGTTGAACTTTCGCCCATCCTCTTTGGCCATCTGCTAGAAAGGTTCTTGGCCAAATGTAAAAATAGAAATGCTATGGGTAGAGCTTTGTCTCGTTGGCCACAAAATAATTCATCAGCATAACAAAGAATCATAACTAAAGTGAGGGTCAAAATGTGGACTCATCATCCGGCCCGGTGTACATTTTTTTGGGTTTCTTTTTAGGTTTAAACCAAAAAATTACGCAAAGCAATGCCGCACCCAGGCATGAAGGCTTCTTGTCTTCGGTCGAGTTGAGTGGCAGTTTATGCCGCATACCAAATCGAGTGAAATTGTCAACGTAATTTTGCGCAAGCCTCGCCAAAAAGGCCTCTCGAACACTTTTTTAATTGATTCCTCGCCAGGCAATGACACACATTGCCATAAAAATTCATAGTTACTTATGTTTTAATGGCTAACGACGCGCCACAAACGAAACTGACAAGTCCCGCGTACAACAGGGCGTATGCGTGCTGTGCCTTTGGCTTGAGGCTTTGGGCTTTGGGATTTTTATTGAACCGCAGGCGTTGGCGCTGATCGGTTTGCCCGAGCTGAGCTCGGCGACCTCAGTTATCACTCTTACTTACCGCGAATTATAATTGATGTTTGCCCAGGCGATAGGCCAGCTGTGATGGCCAAGTCGGCAATATAAATCTTTTTTTCTCTCTCTCAGCCAGCTTACGGGGGCTATAAACTGGGGAGGGACCTTAGAGCTGCCTGGTATCCTAAGTAGTCATATTTTTGTTTTTTCTGTTTCTAAACTTATGGCTCGAATGTCGCAGTTGTCAGGGAAAATATTTTAAATACTTGATTGGTTTAGCCGGAGTTAAGAAAGACATTAACGAGTCTGCTTACATACCTAAATTTATGACAGACTTGGACAAATGTTGACCTTAGCTAGGTAATATTTTTGACAATGAATCGGTTTGAGCAAAAGTTAAGCAATTATGCATAAATAGTTATAAATTATTAGTCCCCCTTTTGGTAACTTAATTAGGGTATCACTAAATCTCATCTGTGTATAAAGCTGGGAATGATATTCAAATTCGAAAACTAACCCATAAAACTTACTTTATTTTGTGCACTGCATTTGTTGCCCTAAATATACACCCTATCATTAAGCTGAAACGCACTGTGCACTTAGCTAAAACCCGTTTAGTTCCCCCTTTGCAATGCATTTTCTCTCTCGAACGATTTTCGCCGCATTTTCCTTGACTATTTGTGTACCAATCAGCAACATTTCACTAATTCACTCCGATCTCTCTTCCGACATTTGCAGCAAAAGGCAGGCCTACGATTTCCCAAAGCAGCAGCACAGATAAGTCGACAGCACGACTTGAATTATTGCACGCAACAGCAGCAGCAGCAGCAACATCTACAGCAGCAACATCTACGGCGGGCAGAGAAAGGGGAGCCAAAGTAACCGACCAGAAGACGACGCAGCTTCATTCTACAAAACAATTGTGGAAAAGTGGGAAAACTCGCGCGCGTGTGTGTGTGTGTGATTGTGTCTGTACGAAAACGAACAATAGAAAACCAGATAGAAAATCAGCAGAGAAAACAATCAGCCAAAGCAACAGCCAGAGCAGCAACTATAATTTTAGTACTTTTGTTTATCTTTTTTTATTCGGTATATGCTTCGGTTACGATGTCGTTGATGAAAATCCATCGAGGCAATGAATCATTTTGCAGTTGCTGGTTGCTGTTGCTGGTGGCATTGTTGTTGGCTGAGGCGGCATCAGCAGCAGCGGCAGCATTAAGTGAAACGCAGACGAATGCAACTAATGGTGCAATTAGAGAGCCGCCTGTGCAACAGCAACAGCAACAACAGCAGCAGCAGCAGCAGCAGCAACTTCAACTGAATGCGACCGCCGGCGACGGCGAAAGCCGAAATTCAGCGGAAATTTTCAGCCCCAGCGATGTGGGTAAGTTTTCTAGCATATTACTATTACCTCGTACCCCTACCCATACGTACACACACGAACACCATGAAAAGAGCAAAAAAAATTGCCAACTAGCCAAAATAAATCTATGCCAATTATTGACCAACTGCCAGCAGACGAAACAACAATCGCCGCTGCAACATTCGAGTGGAAACTGACTGGCTGGCTGGCTAAAAAACAATTGGCCCGGCCAACAAATGTGGCCGAAGAAGCGGCTCTAACTGCAGGCCACTCTGCAGATTGGCATTGGCCAATCTTTTGCATTTTGAAAGCCAGAAATGGTTGTCAACGTTGAGGTTGTTATGAGACAGCAAGGAATTGGCTTTATGGGTCAGTTTCCTTGCATTCAATTTTATGTCTTCGCTTTCGGTTTTTAAAACATAAAAAGAGCTTTTAACTTTTAATTTAAGAGGGTTTTAATATGGGCACTTAAAGTTTTACGAGGATTCTTGTTTGGCTTAAATAAATAGTATAAAGAAGATTTAAATTGGAAGGTGTGCCTACCTAGATTTGAAAAGAATTTGAAAAGTAATAATTAAGAATCTTATTTAAAGATTTCCTTGAATGAGAAGTGCATGAAGGTGTCTTTTCAGTCAATGACACCTTCATTTACCCACAAAAATCAACATTACAAAGTAATTAATTCATTTTAGAAAGGTTCCAACCGAAAAATGTGACCCTTCTTGGACCCACTCAAGTTTATTAAAACAAGATGCCACCGCAGAGATATGGCCACAAAATACGAGACCCTATTGAGTTGCAAGCTTCGAATATGAAAATATGAAACTGTTCTGCAAGGGCAAATGTCGAGGTGAAGATAGCTTAGCTTTGGTTTTAGCCTTTCATAAACGCTTTTTAAAAACACGCTGCAAGTGCCCGTCGACGGGCAATGGATTGATTAGACCGGCTCTTTTGTCCATGGCTGCCCCTCTCGGACACTCATAAATGTAAACAGTGATTGTTATTTCAATTAAGTATTTTCATAAACAATTAAGTTTGGACTTGGTGATTTCTCAAATGCTCCACGGCGTGGGTGTTTAAAAATCGAAATGGAAATTGTTGTGTTTCGCATTTAAATGTGAATTCAATGGCCAAGATAAGTGTATTTTTTTTTTATTGGGTTTATTGGAACAACGTGTGTTAGGCCTAGAGTTCCAAAAGACACTCAAGCAAAAATGTTGTCCGCATCTTTATTCATGAACTCTTTGTTTGGCCTGAGACTACATTTTTACTACACTTTTTTATTGCGGCCCAGAGCTAACTAAACAAATGTTAATGCATTTTGATTATGCTTAATTTATGCCCGATGAATGGGCATAATTTCGGTGTTTATTTTTTTGGTTTTTTACCTTTTTGGCCAGTCTCTTACGAAATGCAATTTCCAGAGTTGAACTGGCCAGTTGTAGGTGTCGTTTGCTGGCCACTTTGCTCAGCACTCGAGATACTTGGCCAAAAATATCAATATTGGTGTGGCTTGGGTTCGGTTTTAAAAAAATTTGTTGTGTACTCATTACGTTTACCTGTTTCTCTTTTTATACCCGTTACTCGTAGAGTAAAAGGGTATACTAGATTCGTTGAAAAGTATGTAACAGATAGAAGGAAGCTTTTGCGACCCTATAAAGTATATATATTCTTGATCAGGATCAATTGCGAAGTCGATTGAGCCATGTCCGTCTGTCCGTCCGTCCGTCCGTCCGTCCGTCCGTCCGTCCGTCCGTCCGTCCGTCCGTCCGTCCGTCCGTCCGTATGAACGCTGAGATCTCAGGAACTATAGCAGATACAAAGCTGAGATTAAGCATGAAGATTCTTGAGGTCCCGGGACAGCGCAAGTTTATTACAGCATCCTGCCACGCCCACTCTAACGCCCACAAATAGCAAAAAACTAAAATTGCTGAAATCTCAGGAACTATTGTAGATAGAAAGTATAATCTTTAGATGACAGCGCATCTTATAGTGCTACTACTATCCGGCCAGACCCACCCATACGCCCACAAGGCTCAAAAGACGGTTTTCGGATTTTCTAGAAAAGCTGATATCTCGGTAACTATAAGAGATAGAAAGTTCGGATCATGCATGTATGTTTCTATGATGCTCCCAATGCGAATTGTTTTTTTCCGATCACGCCACGCCCACTCTAACGCCCACAAAACCCGAAAAACCAAAAATGCAAAAATCTCGAAAACTATAAAAGCTACACAATTTTGCTTAGGAACACGTATTTAGGAGATGCCTCTGCAACTTGCCACGAAGTTTCATCCGGCCACGCCCACTCTAACGCCCACAAACCGCGGAAAACTGTGGAGTCTATAATATTATTATGAATGCCTTCGTTTGACCTTGTGTAACTTATTTTTGTTAATATCTATCGATTTACAAAAGATTTTTCAAATCGGAACATTTTTTCGCTGTTTATAAAGAAATTAAGTTATAAGGCCTTACATGGGGAGTGACGTCACTATAAGCATACTCAACATACTTCCTCTGACAATAGGTGGCGCCTTGTGAATTTCCACTAGCAAAATTAATATTTTAAAATTGTGTAAAACAGTAACGGGTATCTTATAGTCGCGGCACTCGACTATAGCGTTTCCTCTTGTTTTATCTTATATATATGCTTTTTTTTTCGGTGCTCTGAGACCTCATGTGCGTCCATTGCGTAATCTCACTCGTTTAGCGTAGTGAAGCGTTGGCAAGTCTCGAGTTTTCAAAGGAGAAGAAGACGAGCCCAAAGAGCAAATCTGAAAAGTCAACACAGAGAGTCAGCCAACCAGTTAGTCAGCCAAGTGCATTCGGGCCAGGTCTGCAGCTGCTGGGGATTCAAGCTAGGTCTAAGCCCGGGCGTATACGCAATATGAGGGCGTGCATCAATGTGGGAACGGGAAAAAAAATCAAAAAAGAAATGATGCAGATAGACAGAGGCAGAGGGGTTGGCATTGTTGTTGCCGGAGGTAAAAGCCAGTGCAACTGTTCAAATATTTAGCCCTTTCACGTTACTACCAACTACCGTATTACGTACTCTGATTCGGATTTTAGCTTTACCTCTGCCTTTGCTCTCAATATGTAATAACAAATATTCAATCAAAACGTTTGCTCTGTTCATTATTCCATGGGTTCGAGGCTGACATGTTTGTAAACAGGCCAGCGAACATACATAGATTTCGTTCAATTTATAATAGATCTTCGTCACGGAACTAATCGATGGCTTGGTTGGGTTCAGTTTCAGCCGATGGCAAGGCCAAGAATTATTTACATATAATTATGTAAGGTTTTCCGCGCGGGGGGGAAAATATTTGAGAAAGATAAAAATGGCAGATTAATATGGGTTTTGAAGTAATTGGATTTTTGTTTTGAGGTAAAGACTAGACTTGTTTTTATAGTAAACTACTCCTAATTGAGTACAAGATTTGGTTATTATTTATTTAATAACTTGTTTCATCTATACATTAAATAAGTTATATAAAATCCAAATTATACTTATATGATTTCCATATATCCCATTTAAAAATGTATCCAAGGGAATCCCCTACAATAATTTGGCTAATCTAATCTGCTTTTAATTTAAAAATTTTATTTAAATTGCTGAAATTGTGGTAAAAACAGCAAATGAAATGCAAATATATTCAAATCGGGTTATACAATGGCTAAAAAATATTTTAAATTGTATAGCAGCGTTTTTCTCGTTTATTTCCTGGATGTTTACATTAATTTCGCATGGTTTTTGCCTTTCAATTGAATTTAATTTGAAGACCCAAATTCGCATTCCCAGTTGGTAACTTTGTGGTTGGTGGTTTGTTTCTTTTTTTTTTTTTTTTGGCTTAACTTTTGCTAGGAAAAGGAAATAAAACGCGCAATTTGTGTTTCGGTGGGCACGGCGAATTTCAATTTAGTGAGTTTTTGCCTTATTTTTGTATATATTTTTTTTCTTATAAAATGTTTATAATTTCTTTTTCATTAGCATTCGTTGCGAAAAATGTGGCCGGCGGCGAAGTTTGTTGAACCCTTCCTCAGGTCCCAGGTCCATCATTTTGTTAATTTCCTTAGCTGGTTGTCTTTCGCTTTCTTAGGTTTGTTTTCTTGAATTTTGTTTTTCGTGTGCGTGATTAATAATAAAACCGCTGGTGACCCAAAACTTCGGGGAAAAGGGTTACGCAACTGCGATGATTTACTGGGGACTTAATTAAAATCCGTGGGACAAAAGAAAGCGGCCAAAACGCTAATGATGGGGGGTGGTGCTTAGTTGTTGTAGTTTACGTTGCGTAAATAGCCGACTTGGATGCGACTGATGACTGGTGATGAACATGTGCCACGCCCCTTGGGCCATTTGCAACGCCTCAATGCACAGGCCGTGTAGTAGGGTATTGAAAACTACAAACTTTTGCAGGCCGAGCTGAATTCGCTAAGCCAAACAAAAAAACGGAAGCCAATGCTAAATAAAAAAAAAGATATAAAAAAATCCTAACAAATCATGAACAACAAAAGTTTGTAATTATCCAAAGTTGCAGGTCGTATTGTTGGCCATTTAACATATGGAGCTCCCCTTTGAAATGGGAAACTAAAGTGGAAATCGCTCGCTGAGAGGTAATTGCGCAATTAAAAGGTCAGGCTCGCAGTCGACAAGTTTTTAGATTTCGGATTTTATTTTGGGTGTCGGCAGTCTGTCAAGGCAGCCAAGGGTTAAAGCCCAAAAACCAGGAAGCCAGTAAGACAAAATGCTACAAAACCAAAGCCAAAACGATTCATTTAGCGGCATTTCACGACAACTTCAGCTTCAGAGCTGCAAGCTCCATTTCCGCATTGACATCCGCGATGCTTTTTGGCTTGCATTTCTTCAGTGCGAGTACCTTTGCCATTTCTCTCTGCTTTCTCACGTCGTCGCTGCCAGCTGCACTTCCTGCATTCGACTGCATTTTGCTGCATTCACGTGAATATTTCTGCACCCACAAGAGTTGGCTGGCTGGCAGCGATGGCACCTTTTATGGTTA